GGAGGGGTGCAGGGTGACACCCCAGGACCAGCTCAGGACAGACTGGAAGTAAATAAAGGCACAACTGCTGCTCCCCACCTCCTGTTACCATTTTGACACTCTTTCTGCCAAGCTTTTTGTTGGATTTCTGCTGGGATTTTTTAATTATTATTTTTTTTTAAATTTGGATGCTTGCTGGAAGTGTCTGACTCAAAGAGCCCAGGTTGGTCGGTTCCCCCAGCTACCAGCACTTGGCACGTTGCACAAACCAGCATTCATCCTCAACGTGTCCTGGGCCGGAGCACTGCGCGATGCCCTTCGCTCTGCCCACTGTCCGCCGGGTTGGGGCTGTCTGTTGGAAAAATGCCATTTGTGCAAAGTCCAAATGAGCTGCGGAAAAAGTCCTGACCTGGCAGTGACCACTGCAGACAGACTCCGTGAAGATATTTTGCTCAATTCCCGACAAAATACTATTGGATTTTTGTGTGTTCATTTTGCACTCTTTCCAGGGGTCCCTTTAGCAGAAGCCGAACATTTCTCACTTCTAACTTACCAGAAAAGCAACATCAGCAGAAGTGAAACCCAGCCTCCACCCGCCCCAGCACACGGCGTGGGGTCGGACTCCTCCAGGTGCTTCCTGCCCGGGGTTTGCCACTGGGACGGGAGCGGCGATGTCGGCTCAGCTGAGGCCAATCAGCACTGCGTGGGTGCCTGTATCTGGGGCAATGCAGCAGCTCTGCCCCAGCCCTGGGGATGGGAGGGGATGCCCAGGGCACGCCGTCACCTGCGGTGTGCGCAGCTCAAACCATCTTCCAGGATCTGCCAGAGCCGGAGAAACTCTGCGCTCACGTGGCCCAGCAACGGGACGGAGCTTTGTGTGGTTGGAGGGGCTGCAGCAGCACCAGCTCCAGCAAACCCACGTCTTGTGCTGTGTGTGAATTCCTGCTGGTTTCTGCCCCTCGGCAGGGCTGGCAGAGCAGATCCTGCTGGGAGGCCATGCTCCCTGCCTGCCCTCTTTCCTGACAGAGCTTTCCTCCCTTTCCCTCGCACCATCTGCAGAGCAGAGCCTGAGCTCCCTGCAGCCCTGACCCTAAGGCTGTGTGTCCCCACCAGCACTGAGAAGATCACCCTTTTCCAATCCTTGATAAAAACAGGGGAATGGGATCCTGGGGGCTGCCTCACCCCAGCCACCCTCCCACTGTGTCTCCTGGGGCCTTGACAGATGGGCAGGCGGCACGGAGCTGCTTTTTTTGTTCTCCACTGCACATCCCATGGGGAGAACCATCCCTGTCCCCATCCCCATTTCAGACGCCATTCCTGCCCTATCCCCATCCCATCTCTATCCTATCCCTGTACCCATTCCTGTCCCCATCCCCATCCCCATCCCCATCCCCATCCCTTTCTCCATTCCTATACCATCCCATCCCCATCCTTGTTGCCATCCCTATTCCTGTCTCTGTCCCCATTCCAGCCCCTCCATGACAGCGGCTGCTGAGCTCCAACGCTCTCATTTATGACCTGTTGGGGGATAAAGAGGCTTATTGGCAACAGTGAGCAACTGGTGTGCGGGGACAACTGCTGCCATCTGTCTGCTGGGGGGGGTGGGGGAGTTGCGGCTGGGGCCGGGTTTTGTTTCTCTTTCATGCACCACTGAACTTTGCACCTTTTGTTTTCCAAGAGAAGGGCTGTGGAGAAAAGCGGCCTCCCCACACCGTGCAGGTCAGGGCAGAGCTTGCTGCTTTGCATGCTGTTCTTATTAAATATTCTAATGGTAATTATTGTTATTTGAGGAGTCTGTTGGCACTGGGCAACCTGGTCCTGAACCCTTCTGTCCTCCACTCTGTGAGCTGGGAGGAGTGCAGTGTCCCAGCACATTGTGGGGCACGAACCATAGGGACAGAGCTGAGCCCTGATGTCCCTGGAGACGCTGTGCCCTACTCCCATTCCCAAAGCACACCGAGGGACTGCAGCAGTGGGGACACAGTGCCTGGCCGGCCCTGGGATGGGAGCATCACCGCTTCCCACAGGTCCTTGTCTGGGATGCTGAGCCCCTGAAGAACTCTGCCAGGTGGGGGTTCAGAGCCATATGAGGAATGTAGGGCTTTCACTGTGCCCCGTTACCCACTGAGTGAGCTGAGATTGGTGACACGCTGTGTACTCCTCTGGGACACGCCAGGAAACGCCTTATGGAAACGGCAACAATGCCCCTGAGCCCCGCGCTGTCCTGGCTCCCAGCTGCCAGACGGAGGGTGAGGCCCATTTTCCCTCTGACAATACCCTTTTACCGCGAGTTTGTGTCTATTATAGCCCCAGATAAAACGGGGAAGGGGAAGGACCGGGCTGAAGCAGAGCAGCTGCCCTTGCTGATGGGTTGGTGGCTTTGTTGTGAGCTAAAAGGCCGCGTCCAGGCTGGGACAGCAGCTGGGGTGCTGCTCCCCTAGAGAGGGATTGGGACCCCTTCTCACCCAGGGATGGCTCTGAGAGGGAACGGCACACTTACAAATCCCCGAGAAGCGCAGCACAGCAGGGCTGTGCGCCCCTGATCCCAGTAGTCAGGAAGGAGCAGCAGGACCCCCGGCAGTGCCAGCCCTTGAAGCTTTAAGGCTGGCACTTGGGGCTGCAGCACAGCTCTGGGTGCGCGGTGCCTTAGAAGCAGAGACAAAACCCAGCTTGATGTTTACAGCACGTGCAGAGGGAGAGCAGGGTGTGTGGGGCTGCGGGACAGATGGCGAGTGGAACAAAAGGAGAGGCAAGAATGGGAGCCAAACAGATTGGGAATTTCTTGCCCTTCCCTCTGTCCTGAGGTTCCGCAATGCGGGGGCACTGGGCTGCCCAGCAGTCCCCAAAGCTTTTGCACTGAGTGCTGCCTGAGCATTGAAACCCCACATCCCAAATCTTTAGCCCTGGTGTGGAGGAGTGGGAGCTGGGTAGTCTCCAATCCTCATTCTCCTCCATAATGTGGGACCACGCAGTGCTCGAGGTCCGGTTGATCTCTGCTGGGAACACACTAGTTCCACCCCCCCCCCCCCTTGGCATGTTTTCCCTCTACCTCTGCAATTTTCTTTATCTCTTCCCAGCAATGTCGCAGCAGCCGTGGCCCAAATCCATGTGGCTTATTAATAATCAACCTTTATTGCTGCTCGTCTGCAGACAGCCGTGTGTGTGGGACTCAACCCTTTTGTCCTCAGCATCAGCGTGAGAAATGTGGCACGGCAGAAATCAGAAAAAAGCAGAAATCCCGATGGCTCTGTCTGCACCAACACATCCTAACATCCTAACAATAAAGGTTTTAGGTTAAGGCTGGGGAGAATGGAGCAAAGGGAAATGCTGAAGGACGGGGTGTGTGTGCTGTGCCCAGCACTCGCGTCCTGGGAGTGGCTTTGGGTCACAGCTGTCCTTTGCTTCGTTCTCATCTGTGTCCCCAGAGGGTAATGTCTGGGATGGTGGTGTTGAAACATAAATCCCGGGGAGAAATGTGGTGGTGAAGGGCTGTTTGTGAGCGGCCTGGGTAGGTCTGAGCTGAGGGATGCTTCAAAGGGG